GTGCTGACGGATTGACGTCTCGTAGCCTGGCCAAAGCTCCACTTCAAACAGTTTTATCTTAAAACGCATTAGTTTAGTTCGATTAACCGAAACAATTCAATATCCATTATACATTACCCGTGCGTGCGGATCAAAAAGATTACGTCCGACCTGCTCCAGATTAAGACCCTTCATTGAGCGACGCAAAATTAAATTCAACACCTGAAGAAAGCGCGGCTCGGCTGCCGATATATAGCCCACAAACTTTATGGTAATTGTGTAATTGACGCCTTGCTTTGAGGTCGCCTGCAGCACAGTTACATCCTGTTCAAATTTCTTGGTCGTAAACAGCTGTGCGCCATCAAAAAGGTAGCCGGTGCCCAAGATTCTGGCATGCTCTGACAATATTCCACATCGCACGCGCACCGCTTCGACCTCAGGCGCAAAATCCACGTGATAGTGGACAATGCGCCATTGCGGTTTGGTTTTTAAACGATAAAAGTTTGACATCAATTTAATTTCCGTACCATCCTGTCCCCGCTTAGTCACGATATCCGCCGGTCTTGAATTAACAATTTCATACCGATCAACTCGCCGGCGATCAGTATGGGGACCACTGGCCCCGCCGCCATGAGTTGATGGAGCACTTGCACCAGACACTGATGGGACTTCTGCGGCGCGAGATGTTGAGCCGCCAATGCCACGGGATGTAGAGGCTCCATGGGACAATGAAGGTCTGTATGCGCTCGAAGCTTCCGACCTATCTCTATTATGGGAACCATCATCACGGAAAACTTTTGCACGCTGTTTACAAATTGGAAAAATAATAATACAAATTAAAAGTAAAGCTAAGGAAATAAATTCAGCTTATAATGAATAATTAAATGCAGACATTTGTAATATATTTTTATATACAAATCTGATATTGATAATATTTTGCGTATTGATGTAATAGATGTCGTAATTAGTAACATGTTGAGAAAAGTTTTTTTTTGGCAAAATAAATTTAAAAAAAAAAACTTAACTTAGTTACATATACACTTAAGTGATTCGGACCGTTTCTCTAGGCGACGTCCTGATCAAAACATATACTTTAAAGGTACGTCCTACCCGTGTACACGACTAAACTTAAGCACATTTAGCACGAGCATAAAACAAAATTCAGAAACATAAATCGACATTTGTAAGCCTTACTTAAAGTAATGAGCCTTGCATAGAATATATATATATATATCATTATATAAACAAAAAGAAGATATTTTCGAGTGTATGGATCAGAATTATTGTCATAATTTGAATGCATGTGCATTTTATCCACTCATCTTGTGAAAAGGTAAGAATTTCTTAATTCTACTAGGTTATACCAAAGACAATATAAACACTAAGATAAGTAACGCCCATTCATTTAAATGTGTTGCAAAATTTCTGGCCTGACTTCTCATCTGGCTTTTCCCACTTCATACAACATGCCGGCCGACTGGCTGTTTACTTTCGAAAAACCAGACGAACAAATGCCGAAGTCGCGGCTTGCTGATCCATGGTACTTTGCGTCGCTTTGTTTTCGAAGTACATTGAGCGAAACCTGAGTACACAACATGTGTCAACACAAATTTGGTAAAGGTCATGAAGAGTGCTAGAAAACTAAGAAAATGTATTTCTTAGTCAGAGGAGTGAATAACGATACATTCAAATATGCTGTTATGTATGTATATTAACACACATACAAACATAATTTGCTTGCACGGCTCTCATAGAGCCGAAGCTGAAGTACATTCTATTTTTAGCTTATTCGCTCTTTCAGCTGTGACAGCGAATGTTACTGATTTCGTTTTTGTTCTCAATTTTCAAAAAATCAAGCCGCATAGTAGCATTTAGTTGCATGGCGTTAGCTCAGTATATTTTTTATTGATAGTCTGGCAACTCCTTTTATTCTTGTGTTCCAGCACTAAGAAAATCGATATTTCAACAAAGCGAAATATCAAAATCGTTTATTTCAAATAATTGGAGCACGATAATAATGTGTATACTATTTATACATACGCCACTTTTTGCAAACAAGAATATACATGTCGTATGCACAATTTTTACAGTTATAGTTACAGTTACAATGACGTGATGTATTCATGAATCTATCTATCTATGCATGTATTGTAGTTGGTACGCTCACTTGAGACGTAATAAGAGCACTAAGCCTATCCCGTTTCGTTTTTGCTTTTGCCTACATATGTAAACTACCACGCTCTTCCTTTACTCTTTATAACATACATATCTCGGACATGATGAAATTCTTAACAGTGATAATAACTAGGCTTGCAAGCTCAGATATTTTCCACCTAAAATTGGGCATATTCATGGCTCGCTGGCCAGAAACAGTTGAAATATTTTACTTTATCAGCCTTTTTTTGGCATCTTCAATCCCGTTTATTGCCAAGTTGCGCTACAAAGCGCAAAAATCCAATTTAGATATTTTAAGTCTTTTTACACGTATGCTTTTGTTTCCTTAACTTTTCAAACCTCGTTTCTCGTTTGATGTTGTTGCTTGCAGACAGTATACGGAAGCTTGTATACACTGAATAAAAACAAAATGAAAGTTTAAAGCATAGACATAAATGCATACGCAATTTGAAGCGTTTTGTATGTATACATATACCCACAACTATGTAGATAGTCATATCCATAAGAGTTTGTTTATATGTATGTATATTTCAAAAGGAACTGGTACGTACATTTGCTTTGCCATATACACACATACACATACAATGTTAAATATCCGCATCAGCATATTCAGCTGAAGTGGCCCAGCTTTATGCTTCTAGAGTGCAGATAACGGAATTCTAAGCAACTAACCACGCCGCGCTCAAAATCATACCGCACATACTTATAAGTTTTGCGTGTGTGTGTGTAACAAAAATGCATACAATCAAGTAATTGGATCTTCCATGTTTGTATATTCAAAAAAATATGGTAATAAGAGTGTGTAGGAATTTTAAGCACTTACCGGCTCTTGTACTGATCTTGGACTGCGATCGGAGTCGTCTAAGGGACGGCGGCGTCCTCGTTCTTGATCACCCATTGCGCCGTTAGAATAAGAATCAAACACAAATTAGAAAGCGACGTCCTCACAACAGAAGACACAAGATCCGAATGATTAAGATCAGAACTTTGAATGCTGAAAATAATAATCGATATAAATTTAGGGCTGTTACTGTTTGAAGCGGCTTTTCGATATTTTGCTCGATAGCCTATAAATCATTTTGATAAGATGCTGTTAATAACAGAATTCTAAATGTTAGGGTTACAGAACATTCTTCTTCTTTTAATGAACTGAGAAAAAACGCAATTGGAAAAGGATAAGACGGAAAACAGTTTTTTGTTATCAGAAATGGACGATATAAAAGTATTTCAACGGTTTCTGAAAGATGTGAAACATCTCAAGGATTTGGAACTACAGCACGTGCATAATAAACGCTGTGGTCAAAATAATAAAGGAAGCACAATAAACAAAGTAAAGAGGAGGCGTCCGCGGTTCCATCCATTAGAGGAAATGAACGAAATTGAATTTCGTAATAAATACCGGTACACAAAAGAAAATATGCGACGTATTATTGAAATTGTGCGAGATGACTTGGAAGTTGACTATTATGAGCCAATGAAAAGAAACCAAGTGCCCATAGACTTGCAAATTTTATCGGCAATTCGTTTTTTTGGAGGCACTGAGGTAACTTTCCTTTCAAGTACCCCATACATACACATTTTAACTTAGTCTCACTTTTAGCACCCTCACCTATCAGCCATGGCGCATGGCGTTAGTCTGCATACTATGGCCAAGATAACGCGTCGTGTTGCTGCTGTATTATCGTCAAAGGCATCAAGTTATATTAGAATGCCCGCAACCCTTTCGGAAAAGGAACGAATGATGCGTTCATTTCAATCCTTATCCAATATGCCCCAAGTAATTGGAGCTCTCGTGCAAACCACTGTGCGTTTGCAATTGGACAGTTCCCGGGTCCAGGCTTCTAGGAGTTGCTACAGTGGAACAGAGTCGCCCGTTCCAATTGAGGAACTTGTGCATTTACAAGTAGTTGCAGATGCAGAGCATAAAATTAGAGATCTGGATATACGTCTTTCTGAGGAGCTTGATTTGAGCACAGCACCAGAATTGTTTTCATTATCCAGGATTAAGGAACGTTTCGAACAAAATGAATTCCGTGGACGTATTTTGCTTGGAAATGACTCTCTCTCTTGCTCCCCCTGCCTCTTCACTCCCGTTCAGTACCCAAAAACGAAATCTGAAGATCTCTATAATCATGCACATGCTATCACCTTTGCGCCGGCAATAAAATGCCTTAACGTTTGGATGCGTCGCTTCGGCATTCTCGGCAGTGAACTCTTAGGAACATTTGGTTCGGCAAAACAAACAATTACCGCATTAGCCGTTCTCCATAACATGGCAATGGAGTGGAATGATCCTAGCATAGGTATTCCCATTAAAAAACATTTTTTATACCTAAATTTAAAACTATTTACTATTTTTAAACTTTTCAATTTTTAGATGCTGATAGTTGCGTATCTGTCTACAAGCCCAACTTTTTAAGTTATGCTCATGGTACATCGACTGCCGAAGAACAACGTAATAGAAACGAATTCATTAAGTCACATTTTTCAAACAACTAAGCAGTTGTTAGTGTGATTATTTGTAGGTAATTGATCTTCATTTCAGTTTTTGAGTCCAAGCAGAAGAAGAACACTTAAATTAATTATAAACGCTTTTGTAAACAAGTAAAATTATTTAAAATATTATTAAATGTATGTGCAATTATATTCTTGTCATTGTTTTTCCATTTTTTAAATGGTAGTTAGTAAACTTCGACTGCTTAAAAGTAAATTGGGTATTTTGCTGGCTGTTAACAGTTAACAGACTGTTAAGTTAACAGGCGAATGAGGAATACTAGTTCTTTACAGTGTTCCGAGCAATGAACCAAATTTATTATTCAGAACTGAACTACACGTGTTGAGGTCGCAGGTTTTGTGTGTGTTTTGTTTTGTTTGCTCTATCTACAATTGATATTTACATCAAAATTAAAACATTATTTTTCATAGTTATAAGTGGCACGTTTAACACACACAATTTAAGCACCTACGTATACAAATTTAAAACATTTACATTCATTTGGCCCATCAAATATATTAATAGCGGTAAAAAAGTTATTGTGAATTTACATGCAGTTCGGCTTTGATTCAACTCGTTCCTTTTCTAGGTACATATAAAACCTTTAAACCATTCTTTTGCATTGCGTTGAGATTTTGACAAAGCCTCTCAGTCACAACGTTTTGTTTGCGATTGGGAATTTCATTGTGATTGCCCCCAAAACAGTGTGCAAAGGAGTTACAACACCTTGCTTAAGGATATCATGTTTGTGACCTAAATTCAACAACCCCCACACACCGCCAGCTGATTCTTGCTTGCAAAAAGTAGCACAAATCATAAAAGTGAAGGTCACAGAATAAAAACGCGGTAAGTTTTTCAAAAATTGAATTTTTAATTTTTTGTTTAAGGATTGCCAGCATTTAAATTGCTTTCATATTATTAAATAAAAATAAATGAATTTCAAATATTTTAAGGAGTCGAGGTAATATGTAAATTATAGGTAACACCTATTTCTAGTTGTATACTTAAGATACCAATAGGAAGTGTGGAAATATATATATATATTTATTTTAAATATTATGCGTAAAAATGTATTTCCCTAATTTCTAAGGAAGGCCTTATATTAAACAAAAACTGTTGTGACCATTTCCTCAAAGTATTATTTATTAAAAAAGGAAGCTTCGAAGATTTAATACCCTTGAAGTCAAAAATGTGTTTCAGTTATATAAAGATTGTGCAGTCCGATTCTGATTCCGATAATAGAATTACACGTGTTATTCACAATTGACGTGTTTGGTTAGAAATGACCAATTGTTCCTTAGGCTGAATGATAGTGTTTCGATTTGGCCAACTTGGCTATGTAAAGTTTGATAACTGAGATGATTGAGTAGCAACAGACACACCGATAAAGAAACAATGTATTGTATGAGGTTGGAAGATGTCGTCTGCTTCTGTGTATTACATATTTCGTGACAAATTAGAAGTACATATCTTTTGCAAGGGTATACAAAGAAAAACTGCCCATAAAACCCCCAAGCAGGCATTCATGTAGTATTATAATCATTTCACAATTATTGTGCTCTTCTCTATCCACCAGGTGCAAGCGTGTGTACCTTTAATATAATAGTGTAATATGTTTATGTATAACGGCTCAGAAGTGTATGGAAAAGCCCCCGAAATGCACCACAAGAGCCAGTCCAGTCAATATTTAAATAACAACAATGGAGTTAGTAACAACAACGATAGCCACAATGAGCATAATTTGCGATATTGCAGCGTTGACAACAATGCATTTAATTATTATAAGAACGGAAGCGTAATAAGTCCATTTTGGAATTTAAAGAGTCCAACTTGTTCATCAAATCCAAGTCCATCTAAAAATAGTACGGCATCAAGACAAATAAGCAGATGTAACTATTTAGTACCTGGCTCAGATCAAGGGCCCTATGCGAACGCATTTTCAAACTCATATGCGCCGCGGAAGACAACGGCCAACAACAATAGCCACGTGTATCAGCAGCCGAGACAACCGGCAGACTATTACAATGGTCCAACACAGCACAAGGGGCGGCATTATGGACATAGTAATAGTGCGCCTGCCAACCAGGAGTTGGCAAAGTATTGGCAAGCATCCCTTAACAAGGATCAACTCAAGCGGCAGATAAGAGCTAACAGTACTTGCGAATATTTGGACGACGGTTCGACATACTCGCACAACCGCAGATCACCCCCGCTGGAGCAATCATGGAGTACTATAATGTAATTGTAAAAAATCCCCATGCTAAATATCCAGCTTAAACACTAAATGTGACACATTTTATTTATTTGATTGTTGTTATTTTTAATTTAACCGCTAGCCACTTTTTATGCCTTATACTTTTAATATATACTTTTTTAGAAACATAAACACATTGCATATGAATAGTTGAAAACGCTTTTGAAACATGAATTTGATTCAAGCTCTAATTTTTCCCCTTTATAGCTCTGAACGTCCACGTTTCCATTCGACAGATCAGCATTACGAACACTATTTCTCGTACTTTTACAATCGTGGCCAAGAGAAGTTAACAAAATCCTCACCAAGTGCGGCGTACAAACCACAAATGAGCTTATTTCAGGATACACCGAGTAAACGCTCGTCCAATGCCACGCGAAGAGGCACAGCCAATGATAATAACCAAAACGTAGAATATGATAGTTATTTATTAAAAGAGAATAATGAATTGCCATTTGGCTATAGTGATAGTGATTGGATTGATTACCCAGCCGACCGGCCAGAAAAGTCTGTTTTGAAAACACCTGTGGAAATACTTAATGGAAAAGATGTTTATGATCCACAAGCAAACAACGATGAACAATTCGATCCGAGCATGCCAATCCATCGTCGCTGCATTCAACTGGGCGATATTAATGAAGTCAACAAAACTGGAGAATCCGTGTCAGTTAAGAATAATTTAACAAAGAAAACAAACAAAGCCACCGAACCTGTTCCGCTGCCTCGTCTGCCACTGACACCCAAAAGAATCAGAGGTGGACAAGCGACTGCCAAGAAAATATTACCCACTGTTCATCGAGTACTCTTATATAATAGTCAGAGCCCCCGTTTGGCACGTAAGCATCACTCGTCTAATTTACGCAGCCAAAACGTAAAGCCCCCACATCCCAAAGGTCAAGGTGCAGGTGATCAAGTCACTAGCTATATTTTAGAAGATCCAGATGCTAAAATCAACGATTTTCGTGACCCCGATTACGATAATGATGACGATTTAGATAACAGTAAATATTAATATTTTAACTCTTACAAAAACTTCAATCATTTTATGGCAATTACAGTCTCAAACTTTGATGAGAGTGATACGGTTAGTATTAGCTCGGACACTGAAGACGGTTATAGGGCACATGCCTATAAACTGACGCATTCCGGAGACCGTTTACTGTCATCGTCCAAAAATTCGTCAACTTTGCTCTTAACTCAGTCATCCGACGAAGACTTAAGAAATCCAGATTCGGTTTTGGTATCAAGTCTCTTTCCATATGTTCCACCCTATCTATCATTTTCATCGAACACCAAAAGAGGCCCCAATGTGCCCCCAGAGCTGCATAGGGTGTTGAAATGGCGTGTGACAAATATTATGCCAAAAGTTGTACGACTCATATTGGCAAATAGCGGCATGCGAATGTTAAAAAGTAAGTATTTAATGCCATATGAATGATGAAAAAAATATAAATTTGACAACTTTTAGAAACAAACGACTGGATGGGCGTGTGGGGCAAGCATTTAAAGAGTCCATGTTTTAAAACAATTCGCTCGTATCAGAAGATAAATCACTTGCCAGGCTCTTTTCGCATTGGCCGTAAGGATTCATGCTGGAAGAATTTGCAACGACAAATGAAGAAACATAGCAACAGGGAGTTTGGCTTTATGCCGCGCACCTACGTAATACCAAATGATCTTTGTGCATTGCGCAAACGCTGGCCAAAATACGCGCAACGCAATACAAAGTGGATTATAAAGCCGCCGGCGAGTGCCCGTGGTGCTGGCATTCGCGTGGTCAATCGTTGGGGTCAGATACCCAAACGACGACCACTCATCGTGCAGAAGTGGGTGTATTGTAAATATTTGTATTTGATGAATACATATATTTAATTGTTTATATTATTAGATACATTGAACGTCCGCTGCTAATTAATGGCAGCAAATTCGACCTGCGCCTGTATGTACTGGTTACATCTGTAAATCCTTTGAGAGTCTTTATGTATCACAATGGTCTGGCAAGGTTTGCTTCTGGTAAGCAAGTTCTTAAAGAAATTCAAATATTTACTTAACTCTGTCCAAACCACAGTAAAATACAGTGCCAAAGCGGATACATTGAATGATCGCTGTATGCATTTAACCAACTATAGCATCAACAAGTTTTCATCAAACTACTCGAAGAATGAGGATGTGAATGCATGTCATGGACACAAGTGGACGATCAAATCGTTGTGGACATATTTGGCTAATCGTGGCGTGCGCACCGATGGCCTCTGGGAAGCCTTAAGGAGTCTTGTTTTGCGCACTATTCTAGCCGGAGAGAATGGCATTAACAGCATGATTAGAGCAAATGTGGAGTCCAAGTATAGTTGCTTTGAACTGTTTGGCTTTGATGTGATATTAGACTCGGATCTGGTACCTTGGCTCCTGGAGGTCAATATATCACCTAGTTTACATTCAGAACTGCCACTGGACGCCCATGTTAAGGCGCCGCTAGTGCAAGGTGTTCTCAACACTGCCCTATATAATGTAAGCCGGCACATCTATTTACGTACAATTATTCATATGCAATTATTTCTCTCAGATACCACCAAAACTGAGTCTTGAAAAGCAAAGGGAGCTAGCCGCTGAATTTTCATTTCCACCTGGTACCCAAATGTGCTACGATAAGCGTTTATACATTAACTATCTGTCGCGCGAAGAAAAGAATAAGCATAATAATTTTACACGAAAAACCATTGAGAATCGTGAGGAGGTATTCAGATTAACAATTTCCATAGCACCTATATTCAGATATAAACATCTACCAATCTTCTTTTTTTATATAAGTACATCGATGCAATACTTCATAAACTGACACCCGATGATGTTCGCTGCCTAATTGTGGCGGAGGATGAGCTAGCACGTTGTGCGCCCCTTGAGCGTATCTTTCCCACAGACCAGACCTACAAATACCTTAAATACAATGACACTCCACGTTATTACAATCGTCTATTAGACGCGTGGGAGTCACGTTACGCTAATAACCGTACAGAAGGCATTGCATTGTTACGCGACTATTGTCAAAATAAATATCACTTGCAAGTCCCAGCGCCGCCTGCCAAAAAGGTAAGTTTTTAACTAATTTCGAAGACAGTAAAATTGTACTCCATATGTAGTACTCACAACTCATATTTACACCTAACACATACGATAAAACAAAAGAAAGTGGTTTTTATAAAATCCAGATATACCAAATACATATCCATTGATGCCAATGAATATAAAACTAAGTACATAGTAAAAGCGAAAAACTGTTTAATTACAAATAATTTACATTTACGTTCTTAACTCTATTGAATTTGAGGGCTGTTGGCGAGCTATACAATCATTTTATTGGCGCTGTCGTGCTCTTTACTGTCGTAAGTTCTATCTGTTGACCCCATAGATTCTCTACGTAAATGCTCGAAATGCACAGTTGCAAGAATCACAAATGTATACAAATAGGTAGAATCGAATTGTTCTTATCGAAATTAATGTATGTAGAGGCATTTAATCAAAATATACTGAATATATTGAACGTTTATTCTTATAAGTCGTATATTGTGCTTAAGTATCGTATTATAAACAACCAAAAAATTAGGTTTTTCGTTAAATGCGATTAAAGATTATCTATATTCAATAGCTTGTTTCGAGAAATTGTTTAAATATAAAAAGATAGACAATCTCTATAACTGCTGGTTACTAATCAAAAGTAAATTAAAGTTTGTTTATTGAAGAATAGCCCTTGTCAAAAACCAAATCGTATATATTGTGTTTTTTTTTTTGACTTTCATTAATTTTGTGTATAGGTGGAAAGTACTGATTAAAGTAAGAACGTAATTCAGTTTCAGTTGTTCTCTCAATATAACATAAATTGTGACTTCTACCAAGTACAAGTAATTAATTGGCATTTAGTATCTAACACTAATTTTATACAATACACTAGTTATCTATAAAAGCTATTATGTTTTCTATGTTTTTAAGTAGAGATAGGTCCGCGTTTGTATAAATATATATACTTACAAATGCATATTATCAAGTTAGTTAGTTAGTAAGTATTTTACCTTGCTTAAAAAAAAAAAGAATAAATCAACACTAAGACAATAAATAAAAATAAAATAAAAAAACGCGCAGATTTGTGGGACACTATTTTCAAGGTCAGAATCGGTATTAAATAATTGATAATAATTGATCTCTTTTTCAAAAACATTCGTCCATATGTATGTATGAACATTCAATTCTTAGTTGTGGTAGTATTAGTTAGACATATACATTTTTTGACGAGCTTATAACAATTGAATAAACACAAAACACACTTCAGACTATCTTGGCTATATTCACCTTAAACTTATTATCATATCAAAAATTTCTGAACACAACAATAAATCACCCAGATTTCCCTACTGTTTGGTAGTCCCTATTTTCCCCATCTCAGTATCTTATCTTCCATTTAGTCAAAAGCTAAATAACTTTCATTAAATATTCATTTTTAATTTGAATTAAATTGCCAACCTCAAGGTGTTTTTACTATAATTGCCTTTAATCATATGATTTATAGCTTTTATTGTTGTAATTTTTCCCCCACGTTACGTTAACAAAATTGTGTCAACCAATTTACAATCAATGTTTTGTAATTGTAAAATTGCAGGACTACTTCATCAAATTAATGAGATGGATTTTAAAGTGAAAAGCGCTGCTATCGTATTTGTATTGGTCTTTTAGTAAATTAATAGAAATTGTTTTTACTTTTAACTGCACGTGTATATATATTGTACATACACAAATTATTATCTAGTGATAAGCCAGTTATAAAATGTAACACATAAGTTATTAATAATTTATATATATATATATATTTTTTTGTTCTGTATAATTAGATTTAAAGTGAGCGTATTTCAAAATGTACAAGCACGATCTATATTGTTGGGATATTTAGTTCAAAGTTTATGTTTTATATGTACATACATATTGTACATACGACTGTCCCAAACTCAAAATGCATACAGGGTCAAAATATTTACATACATAATTACAGATCAAAATTGTTATTTAAGAAGCATACCTGTGATTTGATTTATTGAGGAGATTATTCATGTGGCCCTCGTAGATAATAAGTAACGATTTAAACAGCGCTTCCTGCTGAACTCTACTTATTATTTTCCTCTCAAATCTATCATTCATAAAAGGAGTTAACTTAGATAGTCTTTCCGCTTTTGGTCGGTTCCTATCCAAATATAATTTACTAACTTTATACTGTGATTCCTTTTTCCTTTTCTTGTCCTTTTTTGAAGAGTTATTTCTAGAAAAAAACGCGGACAAAACCAATTCAGAGATTGTAAGGGTTTGATTACAAAAATTGTGATGTAATTTTTAGTAGTTCTTTTTTAGATATACATAATGTGTAATCAAATAATAGTGTATACGAAGTACGACCAATATCACATTATCTCACAATGCCTTTTAGTTATCAAAATCGATTAATATTTTATAGTTATCATTTAATTTGATGTAAACTTATTGTAAATTCAGTACATTCTGCTTCTATATATACACCAAAAAAATAACTAATATATTTGAGAGATATGCTCATTTAGTTATGGACTCTATCTTGTTTCATACAGCATTTTATTTTGATTTATTCTATTTTTGAAAATATAAAAATTTTGAGAACTATATACATAGCATGTTGTGCCGCGAAGGGGCCAAAGTGTGCAAATAAAACGTTGCGAATTGTTCTATGGTAGTTTCTAGTTTGAAAAATAATAAAAATAATAAGAAAAAAAAACAAGACAAACTAGTGCAAGTTAGTTCCTTGTTATCTTTAAATCGCCCAGGGCTATACGATTACGTGTTTAAAACAATAAATGAATAAATCAAATTTAACGTACTCTGCATTTATGTTATTAAAAACAGGGATTCGAAAATATACTCTCTAAAAATCAATGTATAGAGCATTTAGTTAATTTAATTTATAGTTATTACAGCTAAGTCTGTTTTTAAAGACTAAATTAACTTTTCTTTTGAAATTAAGTGTCCGTAAGAGCTGGATATATGATTGACTTGGCTGTTGTTAGTGTTAGTTTCGAAAACGGAAAACATAAAAAACACAATAAACCTTGTGCAAATTGTATCGTTACATAATATATATATTGTATAATCAATAACTGAACATTTCAGTGTCATGTTTCTGCTTTAGATACATAAGTATAATGTTATATCGATCTGTACGATATCATTTGTGTACTTATTTAGCATATTTGCCAGCTTATCTACAAGTACATATATACTGCGTTTATAACTTCTAATCAGTATAAGCGTGAGTTCACACGTATCAAGCATGCGGTCAAATAGTTTAATATTTGTAAAAAAAAAAAAAAGTGGATCTTAAGGGGTCAGACTTGAAATTTACATTCACATGAGTTCCTGGTTTTTTTTTGTAAATTATTTAATTGTCTGAAACTAAACTAGACTGTATTACTTAATGAAATATGTTTGTATTACCAGCAACACATGTGAAGGAAAAATGTATTTTTTTTTAAATTGATTTCAAGTAAATTTTGTGAAATATATTTGTACGATCAGTTGTTATGTGAACAAATCGCTATTATTGATTAGAAATTTTTTAAATGACTAAATCTGCAAAGGAAATACCTTATGTAATTGTTATTGAGTACAAAACCAGTCTTTGGTTTCAAATGGATCACATTGATATTTGAGCAGATTTTTGCATTTGAAAAATTTTAATATTCAAATAAGGAACATCGTATAAACGGACTATATGTGTAAGGTAAAATTTGACAAATTTACATTGTATTTGAAACCAATTTTGTTGTTCAGTTTTTTTTATCCGCTCTGTCTCCCATTCATGTTTCTCATCCTGCATGTTTTACCTATGTATACTAATTGAAATTCTAAAATGTAGGACTTGAACGTTAGCCCCGATGAGAGCACCACTAAGAAGTCACTGGTTGATCGCGACGATGAGCCCGATAAATAAGAAAGGAGAGCTCCAGTCATACAAATGCAATCACAAAAAATTCCGAAGATTTTATATAAGCGGCATAAAGCAAAACTGTTAAGGTAAATTGAGTGCTAAATGCACAATAATTATTACAAAATTAACATTTCGTTTTTTAATATTGTCTTCTAGATTTAATAATGTTCATCTTGTTATATAAAAGACTGAACAAAATGGGTCATTATTTAATTGTTGACACTTAGAAGTAACTTGTCGTCATATATCGATGCCGGTCTATCAACTCAAATTTTCATTAGGACTAATTTTAAAGCTCAAAGCGTATTCAATGTGTTCGAAAACTAAGTAAAATTTTATGTACTATAAACTAGGATCCAAATTTTATTGTACGCTTAATACAAATTTGTAATTGAACATTGTTTACGAACCATATAAAAGATCTTTTGATTTTGGTTTCAAGGTAAAATGGGTAAAATATTGTAATTGTTTTTTTTTTTTTGCAAATGTATGTAAACTGTAGACGCAATCTGCATAAAGTATGTACATATGTATGTATGTATTTTTATTCAGCTATGACTTGGTATTTGGAACGTTGATCCTCCTATTACACAAGATACACTTACAAAGCTCCACGGAATCGATTCGTTTTTGACCTTTGATTTAAAATGATTAATTTTTGGGAAAACTCCTATCAGCGTATTTGGATGTACAGATGCATGCATCCGTAAATATACGAATTTTTGTTAGAGAATCTCGACTTGTACACGAAATTGTTTTCTATTTGGAACTAAACGTCCGTTCTAATAAATATTTCACTAACCTGCTGTTGAAACAAATAAGAGCTCCAATAGGATGCACCTATTGGCAGTAGTTCTCTATGAACCGAAAAAGTGCCAAATGAGATTAATTCCAACTGCTAGTAAGTTTTCAAGAGTCGATATTTCCATCCCTACAATTACCGATGCGACATTTCTGTAAACGATTTGCTTCTTGGAAAAGCCAAAATACATACGTATAACGGCAGTTTCTCCTAGAACAGAATCGTGCGCACTGTTATTAAAATCGAGCATTAGCATTTGTCATGTTAACAGACGAGCGAAGAGACTTCGTCAAAGCCGAGCCGAAACACAACTCTGCTTCTTTGATTTGAAATTTTTGTCCGACATTTGCGACGGTCAGCATCATTTGTGTGGAGGTCTTCAACATAAAGGCATGAATAATTTACCGGCTAATTCGGGACATTCACGTGGACGTGGTCGCGGTAATAAGCGCAATGAAGAATTGAGTCAAAGACAGGGTCCTCAGTTGGTATGTAGTACAAAAAATTGTGAATAAATTTTACTTGCTAAAAATAGAATTGTGTTCATGCATGGATATAACAGGCAAATTTCAAGCCACTTACATTTACATACATACGTACAAGTAGGTACGTTTTGTGAAATTACTACTGCATCTTATGGACTTGTATGTGTGTATAGTTTCTCAAGGCCATTTAAGCGTTGCTTGCTTAACTGTCAGTGTGTGTTATGTGTAAGCATATTGTAGATATGAATACATAAGGAAATGAAGAATGAAATTGAGCGAAATGCGAAAATATGAGAAACTAATTTATACATACCAATGAGAAGGGCTTGCAAAGAGAGTCAAAGATGTTGTGAAAAAGACGCAGGCGAGCAATGGTCGATATCAAAAAGTAACGGCAAATCTTTGTTCTCATTACGCCTGTATTCACGCTTCAATTGCACATGCGTGCGCTGCCCACAATGTAAACGACTGCGCAGTTTTAAAGAAAGCGTGTTTAAAGAAAAGCATGCGACTGCTAATAATATAAACAATATTCTGATATATTTACACATTTTTTAATATGTGCGCTCTACTTCACTTTAGGGTCAACCTGCTCAAACGTCTGCCCCGCGGCAGCCGCCAGTTCGCACTGAATCTGAATCGAGTGGCCAACAGGAACAGGCAAGAAAACCCACAGATCTGGGTTCGGCAGAATGTGCCGAGGGTAAGATATTATTTGATCGACAAATACAACAGTATTTTTACAGATTTCTTCTATGTGGACAGGTGATGCTCGTGGCTCGGTTCGAGGCCGCCGTGTACTTACCGACGTGGTTCATTCTCGGCCTTCTGGACTAATTACGAAGGCGGGTTTTACAGGCCGTAAAATAACTGTTCAAACCAATTATTATAAAGTCCAAAAGCGCCCCAACTGGACCATTTATCAGTATCGAGTAGACTTCTCTCCAGATGTCGATAATACGAGGCTGCGCCGAGGCTTACTAAGCGAGCACCGCCAACTCTTGGGTGGCTACATATTTGACGGAACGGTTTTGTTTTGCACCACCAAGTTTAAGGAAGGGACTAACTCGTCAAACGTTTTGGAGTTAGTGACTAAAAGTCGGGCTGGTGAAACTATACAGATAAAGATAAAAAGTGTCGGCACCGTTGAGGCAGCCGACAATCAACAGTTCCAGGTACTTAATCTGATCCTACGCCGTGCCCTGGAGGGACTTAAGCTTCAATTGGTATCACGTAATTTCTTTGATCCACAAGCAAAGGTAAAACTTAGTTTGCAAGACCTTTCATAGTACTTAAAAATCTTCGTTATACATATTTTCAATGCTAGGTTATCCTAGATCGCTTCCGCGTTGAGCTATGGCCCGGCTATACAACATCAATTCGTCAACACGAATCCGATATTTTGTTATGCACGGAGATTGCCCACAAGGTGATGAGAACGGATAGCTTATATCATGTTTTATCAAAGGTCATTCGCGAAAGCGACGACTACCAAGCTGCCTTCAAGCGTGAAGTAATCGGCAAGTTATTTTGAGACCAATTGGTTCTTATTATCAACAACTAAGTTAATAATGATTATAACCCAAATATTTTGACACAGGCGTGATTGTATTGACCGACTACAATAATAAAACCTATCGCATAGATGATGTTGACTTTGTTTCGTCGCCAATGTCGACATTCAATACCAAGGATGGCGACATTACTTATGTAGAATACTACAAAAAAGTAAGTATGCCATAGATGGGAAATCTAAGATGGGCGATTTGAAATAACAAATTTGTATTCATTTATCTAGCGCTATAACATCACAATTCGAGACTACAAACAGCCGCTGCTAGTGTCTCGCCCAACAGAGAAGAATATTCGCGGCGGAGTCAGTCAACTTATTATGTTGATACCTGAATTGGCACGCGCTACAGGATTGACCGATGAAATGCGCTCAAACTTTCAGTATGTAATTTAAACACATATATCTTGTAATCATAACTGAAATCGCATCGTTTATAATATAGATTAATGAAAGCCATGAGCGAACACACCAGACTGACGCCTAATCGCCGCATTGAACGATTGCGCGTGTTTAATCAACGCCTGCAGCAGTCGCAGCTGAGCGCCGAAGTGATGAAGTCCTGGCACATTGAATTGGACACGGCCTTGGTCGAGATACCCGGACGTGTTCTGCCGCCGGAGAAAATTGTGTTTGGTAATCAAAAGCGCTACTTGTGCGATGCCCGCGCCGACTGGACTTTCGAGTTTCGCAACAACTCAATGTACAAGCATGTGGACATAAAGCGTTGGTATGTCATAACACCACGTCGCAATCTCCGGGAAGCTCAGGAGTTTGTCAAGCTATGTATACGGGCAGCTGGTGGCATGAAAATGCATATCGCCGAGCCAAGATAGTATGTATTATTATAACCCACCCACCCACAACTAAATCTCAACTAACAGAAATTAAACATTCGCTATTGCACAGTGATGAAATGTCAGACGATCGCAATGGCAACTATTCGCAGGCGATCGATAATGCCTTTGCCAAGGATCCACAAATTATCATGCTGGTTATGAAATCACCAAACGAGGAGAAGTAAGCACATTAACATATTCAGCAGGGATACTTGCTAATCATAGTCCCTTTTGCATACACACAGATATAGTTGCATCAAGAAGCGCACTTGTGTGGACCGCCCCGTGCCATCACAAGTGGTAACACTCCGTACAATTGCGCCACGTGCCGAAAAATCAGGTGGCCTAATGTCGATTGCTACAAAAGTTGTTATCCAAATGAATGCCAAGCTAATGGGCGCTCCTTGGATGATTGAGCTACCGCTAAAGGGCCTAATGACTGTCGGCTTTGACGTGTGTCACTCGTCGAAGAATAAAAATAAATCCTATGGTGCCCTGGTAGCTACCATGGAAATGAAATCAAGCGAACGCTACTATTCATCGGTAACGGAGCACATGAAGGGCCAGGAACTCTCCGACCAAATGTCATTGAATATGACATGTGCCTTAAAGGCATATCGTGAGCATCACGGTGCTTTGCCAGAGCGCATTTTATTCTTCCGTGACGGTGTTGGCGATGGCCAGCTCTATCAAGTGGTCAACACTGAAGTTAAATTTCTCAAGGATCAGCTTGATAAGATCTACAAATCAGCGGGCAAGGATGAAGGTTGTCGGATGGCTTTCATTGTGGTCGCTAAGCGGATTAACACACGTTACTTTGTCAATATGCGCAATCCTGAACCGGGAACTATTGTGGACGATATCATCACATTACCCGAACGTTACGATTTCTTTTTGGTCTCGCAGGCAGTAAAGCAGGGCACAGTTTCTCCAACTAGCTACAATGTTATACACGACAACATGGGCTTAAATGCAGACAAATTACAAATGCTGTCATACAAGATGACGCATATGTACTACAATTGGTCAGGAACGTGTCGGGTGCCAGCCGTCTGCCAATATGCTCATAAGTTGGCTTTTCTTATTGCCGAGAGTATACATCGTTCACCTTCGTCTGGCTTGGAAAACCAACTATACTTTTTGTAATGCTTTCTAATACGATATATATACGATATATATATGAAACGTCTTCATTTGTATTTAGAAAAGACATTTGCGTCTACACATTTCAAAGTGCCTGACAGGATTTTAATTTTTGTAACACCTACTAATCGTACATATGAAATAAGCATATGTATTTCTTTATAGTGGGGACAGTTGATATTTTTCCAAACCCGAAGTGGTTATTTAATTTGTATTCAAGCGGACGAAATATCAAGTCGGAAAGACTTAGTCACATGATTGTGCTAATTCTATGAACAATTTATTTAACGCTGACTTGTAATGCATTGATTGTAATTAATATTAATAAAACATAATTTTGTTTCCAATTGTATTGCAAATTTAATAACTTTAGCTGCTAATTGAAAGAGGTATTGGTGTTTGTGGACATTTTGAATATGTCCATTTGACTGAAACTTCAAAAATTAGCGTAGTATACTTTTCTGCGGCACAAGAGAGCCCAATTAAACTGAATAAACCACAAAGTGTAGGTTGGTAAAGTTTACATCAGCGTTTTCTTTTATTATTAAAACTTTTAATTGAAGCACAATGGATGTCATTAAGCTTCCGTCTTCACAACGGTCGTTTTCTCCGACACGTACAGACCATCCAAGAACTTACGAATATCCTTGTTTTTGACAGTGGTCGACTGTTGAATGAGCGCCGCAGAGCCAGAGACAGCCTCGATGTCGTTGCCTTCAACGATAAGCTCGTCCTTTTGGGCAGTTGAGTTGACAACCGTCACACCAGGAGCCATCTCCACGCGACGAATGTACTTTTCACCCAAGAAGTTACGGATCTCGATAACAGAATTCTGCTCAGAGGTAACGCAGTTGATGGGGAAATGAGCGTACACAGCACGCATTTTGTACTGGAAACCGAATGTCACACCTTCAAAATGGGGAGAATGGGATTATTAATCGAAGTCCTTCAGTTTTTATAGGCATTTCAGCTTACCCTTGATCATGTTCTCAATGTGACTGCATACGGTGCGCACGGCAGCGAGCTCCTTCTTTGTGCCGAACCATTTCTCAACTTTGAGGGTGCGTTTGTCCGACATGTACATGTCCAGAGCCAGATGCTTGAAGCTCCGCTTCAGGGTGCCTCTGGTGCCGGTTATCGTGACCACACGCGCCTTCACGGAGGCTTTAATATCCTTGGGGATCTTGACACACTGATTCGAGTTGATCGTTCGCATTTTGGCGACACTGCAAAATAGTAAACAAATACCTCAATTAGCCACATTTACAGACAAGGCTACAATTAAATTCAACTCTGAGGTATATAGAATGTGTGTTATGGTTGCATTTCCAATAGATTTCGCACTTGTAGCTTCTATGGGCATAAACAAAACAATTTTACTGGGTTCCGGTATGATGGTACATGATCCATATTTGCCGCTTTTTTGGTTAAATAAATGCATATACAACAAACTTATTACTATGTCACTCATATAACACATTTAGCGATTCATTAAATTCGTGCATTGTGTTGATGTTTTAATATTCATTTTGTATACAAATTATTTGGAAACTTACACACTGCAGACCGACCGGAAAGAGGCTGAAAAAAGAAAGGAAATATTTGACGTTTAGTTTAAGGTTGCCACACCGGCGAATTAATCAGGGATATTTTTGGGAATTTTATCGGTGCTGCCAACCTAGGTAAATAACACATCGTTATCGATAGCAACGGAACATAACGAAACAGCTGATATGTTATAATGCTGTAAGGGCCATGTTATAAAGTTGTTAACAGCTGTTAGTTTGAAATTTGTGCGTCATTGTAAGATTTTCTCAAAACCAAATGCCCAAAATATTCATTTCGTTTTATCTATTAAGCCGAACTGCTAACTATTAGAATCTACCGAGAAAGACAAGTTACGGCAGAATGTCCTAAATAAAATTATTGCTGATGTTAACAACATTTTGGTAAATGTTAACTTAACAGAGGAACGAGACAAAAAATTAATGGCGGGAGCTGTATGGCGTGGGCCGATCTCTCTCTCCAACCGGCGGCAGTTTGCAAATTTTATGTGGCGAAGCGGTTTAACGGGGAAAATTACAATTGTGATATTTAAATACTTTGGTTTGTGTAAATAAAGCTTACAAATATGAATAACACAGCGTCGCCACCTGATGTCCTACAGACAGCGGGCAATATGCTCGAGTGTCACGACTTTCGAGACAGGCACAAGCCGGAACTCTTAGAGGTAACAAACAATAGGGCGTTGTTGTATGGCACAAACTAATATTACTGAATAGTTAACAGGCATCAGTCAACATGGGAGAGCAACGATGAGTGGCCTCAACGATTATGATTACCAAACCCTGTCACAACTGACCACCGGTGATACACATAACCTACAACAACTGCGAACACTGACCAAATGTGGAATACCCAATGAAGTCCTGGAGCACTTCAAGCGTAAATAGTTTGCCGTACGCCAATGATACGATTGTTGTTAATTGTTCTAATTTTAATTAAGATATCAAATGCCACTGCATAATGGGCTTGTTTCCGGAAATTGGACGTGCATGGTTGACAATCGATTCAGATATATATATATGGACATATGAGCAGGCCCGAGACGTCGCCTACTACGATGGCTTAAGCCATTTAATTTTGAGCGCTGGGTTGATCAAGCCAAAGGCAGGCGTTCTAATCAACGACGTCAAGTATCTGCTATTGTTGACAACACCCATTGAAGTGATTGTGCTGGGTGTTACATTTGAGGAGCAGAAGGATTCCAGATGCACGGCTGCGAGTAGTACCCGAATGCAGCTGTTAAACAAGCCCCTATTCGTGCTTGGAACAGATAATATATCAATTAATGTCATAGAGGGCACTAAGGATGGACGCATCTTTTTAGGCGGTCGCGATGGCTGTCTTTATGAAATTGATTATCATTCTGAGTCGAGCTGGTTTGGCAAGCGTTGTAAAAAGATAAACCATTCGCAAGGACTGGTTTCCTATATAGTACCAAGTTTTCTGAAAGTATTTTCGGTGAGTTACACAAAAGAAACCCCGTATGGGAACAAGATTTAATAATAATACTCTGCACTTTATAGGAGGTCGATCCTATAGAGAAAATTGTCATTGACAATGGTCGAAACTTGCTTTATGTACTAACTGAGAAGAGTTCTATTGAAGCATGGCACATCGGCACGAACTTTACAAGTGTGCGAAGGCTTGGAAAGATTACACAAAATGATATTGCAAGTCAAGCGGTCAGCCTGATTAAGTATGTGTGCAGACTCTTTAGAAAAGTAGAAGGATAATAATAATTTTTTTCCATTATCATTATTTAGAACTGTTGATCCATCCATATTCAAAAGCGTGAAAGCGATTTGTCCGCTCAGCACAGATAATTCAAATTTCCTGCATCTCGTTGCTGTCACGCAGTGCGGTGTGCGTCTTTATTTCTCTACGACAAGATTAAATGTGCAGCAGCAGCAGCTAAACTGTGGGACTGACAGTTTTGGGGTTCTCCATCCAAATAATGTGCTGCCAATGATGCAAGGAGATATGGAAACACCAAGAGGAATTTACCTACTGCACGTAAGGTTGCCGCCTGGTTACACACCGAATGCAACGACCAATAAACCAAAACATGTGCATGCTGCATACCACAGTGAGGGCACAATGTTAATGGTCACAACGCAGCAACAGGAACAGGATTTACTGTGGTCAGTTAGCTCTGCCCCGTTTACAAACTTTACATATCTCGTAGAGTCGACGGCATTAGAAGGTCTTGATGGCATCGTTTGGAGCGTGGCAGAAGTGAAAGATCCAATAATGGACAACACAACTTCATTGTTATACAATGCACGAACACCGCGTAGAATCGTCCTGCTTACCAATCAAGGCACGCACATCGTGGAGCTACTCAAGGCTGCTCATATACTGCAGCAGTTGCTGCTGGCCTGCAAGGGTCCCCATCATGAGGCAGTGAAGATGTTCTTCCAAACACAGAATGAACGAGAGGCGTGCGTTACTGCACTCTTGTTGGCCACCTCGGAGCAGTTGCGTGGCAGTGACATTGCCTTGTGGGCCACCCAAGCATTCATGCTATACGGTGGAGAGCCGTGCTATCAACATTTTATGAACTCAACCAACCGCAACTTGCATAATAGTACTATCGGCACAAACACTATCATGCCGGGCAGAGAGCGAATGCCGCCAATGTATATGTCGACACCCATGCCGAATAGCTCAAACATCGGCGTCATGAGTGGCCAATACAATCAACCAATTAGTCCCAGTAAGTGCCTCGCATAGAGATAATCAAAATACATTAATATTAATTAGTTTCTTCAAAATTTCCAATTCCAGTTTCGGCTGCACAATCCGCCCAACAACAGCAGCAGCAGCACTCGATGCCGAGTAATGAGAATTCTCCCATTATATATTCTGCAAAACATGATGGCCTCTTTTTGTATGTGTCTCGCATGTTGCGCTCCGTTTGGCAATCGCATTGTGTCGACGAGAATTTGTGTTCAAAGTTAACAATTAGCGATTGTACTATGCTACTGTCCGAATTACGTTCGTTGCGCTGCTTTTTGGATAAACACTCGGTGCACGATATTTCTGGTAAGCCAAATTTCTGAAGCTTCTCTTTATGGGGTTTTATTCAAAAGTTGTTTTGCTTTTTAGCCACAAGACGACTGCCGTATGAGAGTCATTTGGGTAGACCGAGTCCTATGATGATGACCAACGCGCAAATGCCACTAAACGAACATCGCAACCTTACAGAACAGGCACAGATCGAGGAAAAGCGTTCGCTTTCCGCCTTGAATCAGTTTATTAGTAAGTTCTCTCAACTTTACTATGTCAAACCATGCTAATATTCTTTACATTTGTTCACAGAACATGCCTGTGAGGTAATGTCGCTGTGGAGCATCCTAATTGATCATCAGTTTCAATTGCTTTGCCAGCAATTGTCGCCGGAACATCAGAAAATGTTGAGATGTTGCACATTTCGAGATCTGTTGATTGCGCGCTCTGAAGTGTGTGCTTTTCTGATCATTGCGCTTATCAATTTATATCTCAAAGATAAAGCGGATGTGACAGAAGTGTCAGATAATTTGCGGCAACTATGCCCGAATCTCTACAGACATGAGGACGAAGTGACTTATAAGGCCACCGAAATACTGATGAGCGCCAAGAACTGTAAATCAGCAGCGGAGAAGCAACAAAAACTATCCACAACCTTGCAAATGTGTTTAGATGCAGCTCCAACATTGCCGCTGCATAGTATTTGTCAACAATTCATTTCGGTAGATTTTTACGAGGGTGTTGTTGAGTTATCTGCCACGTGTGCATCTAA